CGTCTATACTCTAATAAAAAGTTCCCCAGACCAAAGAGGTCACCTTAATACCAAAAAAAAAAAAAAAAAAAATTATTACAGACAAAATTTTAATGCATTTCTAAAATTCTTCAGTTTTGCAAACCCTTTTTTCATAATACTATCATCAAATAAATCTATAGTAGTGCTGCCAATTCATAATTTTGCTGCAATTTCAAAAATTAAACCATAAATATCCACGGCATTTATACCTAGTTTGGAAGATTAAATTGCTTATTAAAAATTACAGTCTCATATAAATATTATTTATTACTAATTATCTTCTATAATTCACTTGGCCTAAAAATAGGAAAATGATGCTTATTACGCTTGAGAAACATTATTTGTTTGACCATGTCTGGGTGGAGTCTATTACGCAATGCTGTAATGTGCAATCCAGCATCTGAAAACACATGTTTAGAAGGGACTGAAGTAGATGGAACGGATAGATATTTCTGAGCCAATTTTGATAATATGGGATATTTATCTGCATTATCTCGCCACCATGTTAAGGGGTTACACTTTTTTTCTTTAAAAGACTCATGAATATAACGATCAACCTCACTCTCTTCGCTTACACTATCTAATTCTTCATTACTATACAAATCTGCCATTAAGTCATTAGAAATTAAACTAGAAGACTCGGCAAAACTATCATCTCTTGAAATTTCTTCAATCAAAGGCTGGTGATATTCTTCCTCTGAACAAAGCCTTCGCACTGTGCTGATTGTAGTTATTCTTATATTTACATCGTCAATAAACTTTAAATTCTTTATTCGTAGATTTAAAAATAACGCGATAAGCCCAATTTCATTAAAAACGTTCCAATACTTTTGAAGAGAAAAGTAACTCGCAGCTTTGACTAGATTATGCAATTCCATACTAGTAATAGGTGGTTCTATTAAATGATGATTTTTAAATTTTGAATCATTATGTTGTTTAGGTATATTTTTTTTGGCTTTTCTATTTTTTTTTTTTTTTCGTCCCTGTGATATGCGTAATGGTTTCCGAAGTTGCTCTAAAATACTTGGTGCTTCAAATTCATACTCTATATCTGATTCAAAAGAATCTTCCTCATCAGCAATAAATTGACTATGATCACTTATTTGCTCTCTAGGTTCAAATAATAAATTGCATAGTTATCCTCAGTTTGATTATTAGAGGGTGCAAACTTTTTAATAAGAAGCTTCATTGTAGGGTAAATAAGGTTAAATATGGGATAATTGGAGCCAGAAAATACAGTAGTGGCATCATAGAATAGTTTTAATAATAGAATAAGACTGTCTAATAATCGCTATTCATTTTCAGTTAGGTTTATTAAATTCAAATATTTACCATCAAGCTGGTCACTATGTTCTAATTCTGATAGTAGTATAAGAACAAGATAATTTATCGCTTTTCGCAATTCTCTAAGCCTAATCCAGGCCAAGTATGAAGAGTTCCATCTGGTTGATATATCCTCAATTACTTGATAAATTGTCGTATAATGGCACTTTTCTTGTGCATTATTAAGCCGTTCAGCTTGTTTAGAACTTTGGAAAAAAAAAAGAATAAGATTTTTTGCATGTTTGATTAATTGTACTACAGGTTTAAGATCTTTAAGTACGCTTAACTGTAGTGTATAAGCAGAACATGCTGATTATCTAATATTATCCATTAAACCAATTGCTTTTTTGATATTAGGGCCATTGTCAGTTGTAATACAAAAAACCTTTTCAGTTAGTCCCCATTCAATAATAACTTGATCAAGTGAGCTTTGGATATTTTCAGCTGTATGAGGTAATGAGATTAGTTTGATTGTTAATAAAGCCTCCTTTAATATCAATCCATGTTACCGTAACTCTGATATATCCTTTATTAGTTCTTGAACTCCACAAATCTGTGGTCAAATTGATAAATTCACTATCTATATTCATTATATTGAATAATTGGTCATGACTCCAATCATAGGCTTGATTAATTATTTTTTTTGTAGTCATTTCACAGGGAATCCTAAATCCAGGTTCCAAATTATTTAGAAATCGGCGAAAAGATCGACAACGCAAAATATTCAAAGGCTAACAATCTTCAATAATAAACTCAACCAAACTTTGTGCTAGTTTTTCTTGTTGACATTTGGTAATAATGTGCATAGCCTTAACAATTGGACCATCTGTGTTTATTCCATCAGGATGATCTTTATCAATTCGATGCTTGGACTAGAGATGACCAAGCATATTTCTGGTTGAAGAGTTATGTATATACTTTACTGCAATGTTTTTTTCTTTACATAGTTGACAGACATCAAAAACACCTTTTTCTGTCTCTTCAGTCTTAAAGTAGTCCCATGCAATACTATAATTTTCATGCTTTTTTCTTTTTTTTGTGTTTTCTTTATCTTTAGGTTTATCATTTATAGGCAATTCATTATTCATAGAGGATTCATTATTTGTAGATGATTCATTATTTGTAGCTGATTCATAATTTGTAGCTGATTCATAATTTGTAGCTGATTCATAATTTGTAGCTGATTCATTATTCATAGGCGATTCATCATTTATAAATAGTTCATTACTCCTAGGTGAATAATGATATGCGTCATCTTCATCCATATAATAATTGGACATAGTAAAGCCTTTATTTAATCTTTCTTGTTAGATTAGCCTTTTAAAATATAATTTATTATTATCTTTGATATATAGTAAATATTAATATTTTGACTTAAAAAATATACTTATATACAGCGGCTTTTTTTGCCTATGCTAATAGTAATTAACGGCTAGTGAACTATGGCTGATGGACTATTACAACTGGTAGGCTACAATTGGTAAGCTATTGTTAGTAACTATGACCGACAGACAACTAGTAGGCATCTGCTACTGACCTAATAAACAACTGCTAGTGGAAATAGACAAAGAGTAAAGCAAAGTTTTTAAGACAAAAAAATACGATTTTATCTGCCGTGTTCTAGTGAACAAAGAAAAAATAGTGTAACAAAAAAATTATTTACAGTAATCTAAAGTTAGCCTTTTAAATACTAATCAGAAATATAATTAAAGCTTTTTTTAACTTATCATTATCTTTATGTATTAAAATCACTTAAAAGTAGTGCATATACAAACTTTGTATAATCATGATATCATAAGAGTTCTATTAAAGGAAAACCTGATATCGGGCTTTCAATTATATTTTGTGTACAGTTAGTTATCTATGGAAACTCTATCATGATAGATTTTCCATAGATGGCTAACTGTATACAAAATATAATTGAAAGCCCAATATCAGGTTTTCCTTTGACGGCATTCATATAACTAGAAATTAAATCAATCGAATATTTATTTATACTGGTTAATCGATTATTTCATTTATTAACCAGATATCTATTTATTATGTTAAAAACCGGTTTTGCAAAAACCATGAACCGATTAGAAAATTTTCGGTTTGGGTAATAGGTTATACAGTTAACCGAATAGTAGGTTGAAATACTAATTACGGTTTTTTTATGCTTTGTAAATTATTGTGCAATATTGCACCCTATTAAATTTGCTGATATAATTTATATTTTAGATTTCTTTTAATGCCTAGCTGTTTTAAATAATTTAGTAGTTTGCTCACTTGCTTGTACTTTTTTTTTTATATTAATATTTAATAATCTTGCTAACACTTTATTAGGATTGAATATAAACTCACAGATAAAATATTAATTATAATTTGAGTTATCTCAAACCTATCTAAATTGCAAGTATTAACTAATCTGACTTATTGTAATACCAAAGTACTCAAATCACCTATATTCGATCTTCTATAGTAAAATTTATTTCTGTATCAAAAAACTTTGCAAATAAATCCTTTGATACATTACTGAATGGTATTTACATTCTATCAAAACTGCTATCTTTTTTAAATCTTCTTTCCCAAGCTCCTAAGCAAAAGAATTCATAGTTTCTAACTGATTTATAAAAAAAAGTACAAACACTAAAAAGATAAAAAAAATAAAACAAAAGGAGAAAAGAAAAAAAACTGCCTAAGCAACAAGAAAATAAGTAAAAAAAATAAATGAAAGAAGAAAAAAGCAGAAAAAAAACAATCTATAAAAGCACTATTATAGCTTATACTAGGTATAGTTGTAAAAATTATATACTATTTTAAATCTACTAAGTCTTGCTCTTAATTTAAAATATTGTATATATCTTTATTGTAAAGCTTTATCTTATCGTTGAATTTTCTTTTAACTTTACTGTCCAGTCTGGGTCTGTTTGTTAACCAAAGTACTAATTGGTTTATCACATAATATAGAAATATCATTGTCAAAACAATTCCATATTTATATTCTAATTTGTTTGTCTGAAAATAGAAAGTATAAACAATGCTAATCTTTTGAAGGGGATAAGTTAAATTGTCTACTTTTTTGTTGAAAATTTTGGTGAGGTTAGCAAAAATTTGAAAACTACTTAGAACTACTAAAAGAGCATGAGTTTTCTTTTACTAGAATCAACAGTATACCAGGCCTGCACAATACTAAGTATTTCTGGTGAATGATAAACTCTAAACTTGTTGGCAAGCAGCATATAAGAATTACTTCTAAATGACAAGTACTGTGTTTGCAAATATAGTGAGTATTAAACTCTAAGGCTGTTAGCAAGTAGCATATGAGAACTACCTTTAAATAATAGCCACTAACTTACAGTCTCTTTTTCTATATCTTATATGAGTTACCTTAATATATTATGTTTTTTCTAATAATTAGTTTTTTGAAAATTGTAGTTCAAGTAATCATTAGAAAGAGTTAAAATACTCACTTGCTTGTATTACTTTTGATATTTCTTTAATCACAATTAATATTTATAAATATATAGTCAACTCTTTCTTATCTAAATAGCCCATTCTTGAGTTTTTAGTTCAGTTCTCAAAGAGGTATTATAAGCTTATTCGAACTTTATAATAAAATTTATAAATGTTTTAGAGTTTTAAGAGAGAGTTTGATTTAGAGAGGTTTAGTTAAGAGAGAGTTGACTATATTGTTTATATTGTTTATATTATTTATTTCAATTAAAACTTGCAATAAGAGATATAGCAACTTATATAGTGATCTAGTCGTAGATCTAGAGTTCAAATCCCACAAATGACAAATTTTAAAAAATAGGCTTGTATTACAGTTAACAGTTATTGATTATTGGTTAGATCTAGAATTAAATCTGCAATCTTGGTCACACTATCTAGTAATGGAAGCTTTGGTGCAATAAATCTAAGAAACTGAAATAACTAAAAACTTATTTGGGAAGTTCCAAGTTAGGAGTAGCAATGATCTTTGACAGTACTATATAAAGGTTAAATTTAAACTGAGCCTGAGATTAGAAAATCAAGTGACTAGATTCTAATGATGAAAAACATACTAGCCAAACTACTAGGTTCTGTTATACTAGAGAAAAAGAGCATATGTTTCAAAAGTATGAACTAAGAGGAGGGTGACTATAAGGTATTTAAAGTCTGGGCAGACTGACTCTTCTAGGTTGCTAGCTTGAAGTAAAAGAAGGACTAGTAAAGAATCTAGATAAGAAGACAGTTAAAATGTAGATACCAGAGTTTGTTGTAAATCTAAACAAAAGCAAGAAGTAAATAATAAGTCTAATTAGGAAGGTTGTGGTTTAAAATATGAATTGGGTTATAGTAGCATCTTTAAAAAGGTGGCTTGAGATACGAACTTGATAATAGCAACACAACAGGTACTAGATAAATGCAGAGGTTCAATAAAACTCCGAGCTATTAGTATATAGGTTACAAAAAATTTAAATTTTTTTATAATAGCTCTAAGCAAGTATTTTTACTAATATCAATAAGTATTTTTAGCATATAACTTTAAAATTCATTAAAAATAAGCAAATTAATTTTATTTTATAACTTATATAAAAAAATAATAATAATAATAAGGGTTAGGGTCTTGTAGTCTAGTAGTCTGGGTGCCTAACTCTCCACAGACAGGTCAATAGTTCAATTATAACTAGTAGTAATTAGTTTAATTGATTATTTTTGTAACCTTTGAGAGCTTTCAAATATAAAACTCTGTGGCAGTAAGACCATGTAATATATATATTTGGCTGATAAAGGATTTTTGGAAGGAGCCCCAAGCCATGGAGAAGACTGGGCACTGCATGTAATATGGGTCACAGAAGGTATTACTGCAGAAAGCTATACATGTGAATTCATGATTGGCAAGATAGCACCAACAACTCTAAGATCTTGATTAGGAGAATGGCTAAATGCAGTATATCCAGAAATGGTAAGAGAAGTGGTAAACATAGTAAAAGGCTGTGGTAAGAAAATGACTTTACCAAATATAGAACATCTCTGGTACAAGGAAACAAGAAAAACTGGCTAAAAGAAACTCTAAAAAGTATGGAAGCAGGTGATTCAGTAGTACAAAAATAAAGACAGGCTAGAGAGTAATAGTTGCATAACCTATATAGGAGTCTATGATAAAACATGGCAGAGGTGTGAGTCTTGGGTTACTGGATTGTAATAGTAATTAAATGAGGTACTTAACTTCTGTCCGAAGGATCCAGACTCCTATATCACTATACCAATAGGGAGTACTATAAAAGAATCAGTAGCCTAATTTAATAGTGTACGATGTTAATACTTGAGAATTATGAAATAACATCCTGGTTGCGGCAGCAGGTCCTGTACCTAGTTGAGATATGAACTAGGCTCTTAGAGTAATATTTCAAGAACACCAAACTGAAAGCATCAAGAGTATCCACTCAAGAGATACCAATTTGGAAGTGATACAAGAAACAAATTAGGAGTAATGTAATAAGTAATAAAGGGTAGAAGTTGGCTAGTAGATGTTGTACAGTAGTATATATAGCAAAGTATATATAATAAGGTTTGGGAACTATCCGTAGTTTGAAAAACCAGTCTGATTGCAGGACAGTTGATAATTAGATAAAATCTCATATAGCAAATTACACATAAATACTAAGTTAGTAACCAGGTAAGCCTTATTTGTAAATAATTAGATATAGGCCGGTGCAAAAAGATAGATACCTCAAATATTAGTTAATAAAATTTTTTAAAAAAAATAATTTCAAATTTT